ACGTGCTGCCCGGCTGCGCCCCCCCCCCCCCCCCCCCCCCCCCCCCCTCCTCCATGCTCGCCCCCTTTCCCTGGCCGCCGCTCGCCCCGGGAGCGTGCATTAACTGCTCTTGTTTTCCCTCTCTGACCGCTCTGCTGCTCGCAGGGACAAACTGTGAGTCACCCCAGGAACGACAGCCGCGTCCTGCACGGGACGGCCTCCTCCTCCCCCCCCTCTCTCCCCCTCCTCCCCACCCTGGGCTTGTGCTACCCAGAATTTAGGATTAGCTGCAGCTGGCGAGTTGTGGGGGCTGCGAGAGGGGGCACTGGGGCCAGAGCACAGATCCCACAGAGCTGAAAAGGGTTCGGAGCCCTTTTCCACTTGGAACCTCAGCAGCTGCTCTCTGCCCTCTCCGTGCCCCCCCCCCCCCCCCCCCCCCCCACTGCAGTGCCCAGGGCTGGTTGGGGTTCACGCTCTGCCCCACTGCAGGGCTGTGTGTGCTGCAGGACCCCTGGCAGAGTTTCTGGTTTTGTTCCCAGAGTGATGAAGGGAGCAGAGCCAAAGCAGCTGGGAAGGGCACGTCGGGTCCCTTCTGTCCCCAGCGTGGAGCTGGAGCACCTCCAGGGGGGTTCGGTTCTTTGGTGCACACGGATTGGGCATCGGAGGAGCCCTGGGGATGCCCCTGGGGTGCAGCACAGGAGGGAAGAAGGGGGAGGAGAGCAGTGAGGGGAAACGGGGAGCACTGCAGCACTCGGGACATCACAGTGGGGCACAGCCCTGGCGCTGGTGGCACTTTGGGGGACTGATCTCTCTGTGCATCTCGATGCCATCTGCCCCTGGGTATGGCACCCCGTGGTGTCACTCCATAGCATCACCTCATGGCATCACCCCACCGCATCCCTCGGTGCCGGCTGAGGTTCCAAGCCCAAACTTTGCAGGCTGCACCCGGGGTTGGGGGCGGGCGAAGGGACGCAGCAATCCTAAATTCCTCGCCGCACGCTTGAGCTCACCCCGGCTTGCTGCTGTCAGCCCTTCCCTTCCCCGCCTCTGTCATCCTGCTGCTTCCTGCATGTCCCTGCTGCCCAGCTCGGCCCCACAGCACCGGCCCCAGGGCTGAGCTGGATCCTCGGTGCTTCTCGGCCCCCCCCCCCCCCCCCCACCCCCTGGGGAAGCCACCGAACGCTGCGTGGCACCATGCTGATGGCTGCGCTCGGCCCCGCGCAGGTACCACGACAAGCAGGAGGTGACCAGCAACTTCCTGGGGGCCATGTGGCTCATCTCCATCACCTTCCTCTCCATCGGCTACGGGGACATGGTGCCGCACACCTACTGTGGGAAGGGGGTCTGTCTGCTCACCGGCATCATGGTGAGCGTGGGGCTGGGGGGTGGTGGGCTGTGCTGGTGCCGGTGCCGGTCCTTCACCGTGCTGTGCTGCAGGGTGCCGGCTGCACGGCTCTGGTCGTCGCCGTGGTTGCCAGAAAGCTAGAGCTCACCAAAGCAGAGAAACACGTGCACAACTTCATGATGGATACGCAGCTAACAAAGCGGGTAAGGGCCCCCCATGGCCCCCATCCCCGTGTGTCTCCCCTCCATCTTCCCCCACTCCATCCACGGCCTCTTGTTCCCTCCAGGTGAAAAATGCTGCTGCCAACGTACTCAGGGAAACGTGGCTCATCTACAAACACACCAAGCTGGTGAAGAAGATCGACCATGCCAAAGTTCGGAAACACCAGCGTAAGTTCCTCCAAGCCATCCATCAGTAAGTGCCAAACCTTTACCTGCTTCCTACGCGGCGCTCGCTCGGCCGTGCCACCACCGTGCCACCACCAGCCTGGTGGCCGCAGCGTCCCCTGCCTCTGGGCCCTGTTTGTGCCCCACGTGCTCCTGTCCCCTGGGCTGGATCCGGCCTTTCCCCTGCCCCGTCCCATGGGGAGGGTGCCATTCTGGGGAGGTGGCACTGGGGATGGTGGGGGGG